ACAGGTCTGAACAGGCCGTGAAGCACTATACACGCAAGCACACGCCCTGCCGTTGCCAATGTAGTGGAGGCCAGAGGTACAACGCTGAGGCCCAGGTTGTGAATGAAGGCACACGAAAGGCTGCGTCTAAAGTCTGACACGTAGGCACCTGAACAAAGCTACAAGTGTGCTGTTGCGATGACAATCGTTGCCAACAAATCACTTCTGGGTACTAATACGTATACTCAAGGGGCGACGTCTGTGACAGAGTAAACTGGTCAGATGATATTATAAACAACTGTTCCACGGGTGAAGGTACTAGTGAGGAAGGATATGTTCAGCTATCAATCTTCAGCATATCCGAACCTTGCTAAGAAGTGGAAATATACGTGGAGGAACACTGCTTCAGCAACGGAGTCCTTGGAGCCCTATTGGTTTTGGTGATAAATTTTATTTTCATTGAACACATTTCTAGTTTTTTTTAGATATTTTCAGAGCCAAGTAATTACGCAGTCTTTGTAGGCTGGATATACACGGACAAATTCATTCGCTCTATTCGACGTGAAAATACATTTATTGGGATAGAAGTGCTTTCTCGGCAGATACCAATGATCTCAAGCTTTTATAACGAAAACGCTGTGTGCGGCCATAAAAGACGACCAAGACATGAGCCTACATTAAAGATACAACCTTTTATAGGCTGTATTAGTTCCCCTAATACGCCCTTTTGGGAGTTCATTCCGATGCATGCATTGTCCGAGATGGCAGTTGAATTTAACCTTTGATCCAACGGTATAAAAAGTATAATCTACTATGATAAGAGAGAGAAACATTTTATTTTAAACATATAATTCCAAAATTTTTGGCAAAGCTTTAATCATAAATAGCAAGTTATGATTACAATATTGCTAAAGCAGATCAACGTTTAACGTAATTACACGAAATTTTTAGGTAAGACATCTGACTAGGTATGAAAAGACTATCGGACTAGATGCCCAAGCCATTGAAACCACTTGAAGTATCAATTTTAGCTACGGCTTAAAGTAGCCTAAACAATAGTAAATATTGGTTGCTTCAATAACTCTCAGTGACCAACCCTTACGTCAAAAACCCGCTCTACGAGGTATGCATCCAGCATGTCAGGACTTTAGGTTTAGTAATCTAGAAAAAAATACCTTCATATACATATTCCAGTAGAATTTCAGTTAAGTGTTCAACAGTCTAGAATTTGCAAAATATACGGGACCTTCATAGGGAAAAAAGTCAGCAAGATGTATGTTACTGTGTGACATTTTTAAATCAGGGCCTCTGTAAAGGAAACTTAATTTTCAAATTTGGTTAGCTTGTACTTGTCTCAAAGATGGCGAAAGGTAGCATTTGCCAATTATTGTAGGGGATGAATGTGTAAATTAAAACGGTGCCAGAGCTTCTGATAGTAGCTGCAATAGTGTAAACTGAACCCCGCCCTACAATTAATCGAACGCCCCGTTGGTCGATGAGGCTGTTGCTTATTATTCATACGCGCGATTGGCACAGTCAAGCAAAGCAAACTTCATATCTTATCCGGACGATACTTCGAGTGTCCTCGAATAAATAAGAAACGAGGCTCTCGGAGACTACTTGTTTGCATTCCTGACGTCTTTAAAGCACACAAGCCTCCATTTTAGGTTATCACCTAACCTGCAGCGCAATCCTCATCCTTATATAGTAACGTTTATTCCTATCTACTGACATGCGATTTTGTAATCATAATTAGTAGTGGAGCGGCCTATGGTTGTCATCACTTTTACTATGTCAACTGGTCCTTATATGAATAGGCGCAAGCCCGTCAATTGGCCTCCCCTAGGCAAAAAAATCCTAATGGAAGACAGGGTAGCAGCGGGAAGCCACGTACCGGAAGAAACTCAGTGGTATGACAGCGAGGGATCAAGAAACAGAGGGTGCAAGCAGGTCGGTGCACCCCAACATCTAGTCTTAACCCAATCTCGTTCAACCAACCCTAACACTGATAATCATTCGATTCCAGGAACACATATGAAGTGCTTATTACTTATTTACGGGCTACTTTGCTGTGTCACTAGATATCCATGTTCAAAATCGCAGATTATGGAGAGGAGTATGACTACCTGCCATTTTTTTAAATTTTGCACGCACTTTCCATCAATAAGTCCCCTGCAATATATTCCTGTACTGGCTTGCATTTCCACGCATTTACGGTTACCGCACTGGTTTGATAAGATAATTTTAGCATCTTCAGAAGTTTACGCTCGGTCAATCCTCCTTACTTTCGTGATTAAGGTTCCCCAGATAATCCTCGTTTCTTGACGAAGGCTCTTTTGGGTCAACACGTTAGGTGAAAATCGGGAGGAGCAGTGAACGCTAACAGCAGGTTACTTGGCCAACAAAAGTTAACTCTCAGACCGACTTTATTGTCACTGAAACGACCTGATGTAGCTAAAGTCGTGAATCCCGAATTACAACCTGGGTGTATAATGGTACACTGGATGTATTTTCGAGGCTGTGCTTATCCCTATCAGTGGAAGCAGGCAAAGGTAACTTCAGTGTACAGAAGATCGCGTTACAAGCCCAATAATTGGGATGGGAAAGAAGATAAGAAAGTTAAAAAAACCCAAAGCGCGTCAAACACTTTCGCGACTGCGGGTCGTTCGATGGGTTTGCCGATAGTTTGGACTTGTCTAACGGAGATGTAAGGCTTCGGGTAGTGTTGCTGACCAATTCGCCAACGCCGATACTTCACTATGGCCTGACAGTAAGTTTGAAGTATTCGGTGGCTACTTAATAAATATAAGTAGCGGTTGTTGTTGTAAAAATTAAACTAAACTGCGTTGCCGCTTTATCTGCTATTTAGACGAATTGTGCTCGGTCAGACGTGCCAAATTTAGTAAGCATCACCTATGTTCAGAGAAGGCAAAAAACTTGCACGCAGCAAGCCCACTGCTAGAGGAACAAAAGGCTAAAAGATCATTTAACAATATCACAATTTGTACAGAAAAGCAGTGAACCATGAAAGTGGAAGGTTAATCGCCAGCAATAAAATGTACATAACAAAGGGGGTGGGTAGTAGAGCTTAGAATGTCTTACAAAAAATAAAATAGGTATTAGGTATCGTCATCTTCAAAACATTCTTCATCAGAGAAGTAATTATCCCTACGGATACGGGGATGTTTTTCAGGGGCAGGGGAACTGTCTGTCTGCTCCAATTCGGGGTTGGATGCGTTTTGCCCACAAGACATTTGGTACTGTATGGCAGCTCCCCAAGAGTCTAAATAGTTGTCATCGCCCTCGTAACTTTCCGAATCCGTTTCTGCCCCGGATCTAGAAAAGAGATCAGGTCGAGAGGAGGTTAGCGAAAAGCAAGCGTCTAATCAGACAAAGGTGGATGTTTGAAAGACTGTCTGTTTATAGAATCTTCAGAAAGCAAACACCATGATACTTCTGCAAACTTCACGCAAGCATGA